ACTGGTTTGTTTTGAGGATTTCTGTCATTCAGAGGTTTGTTGTGTTTAAAGTCACCAGATTGATTTTTGGGGTTAACTGCCGCCGTGGAAAAACAGACGGCGAACTTTTGGAAAATAAAACCAGAGAGCATCAAAACTATATTTTATCCATTTGTATGGGGAGCGTTTCTGGAAACAGCTGCACCGATTTATGTGAATTATATAACGTTTTCTATATATATATATATATATATATATATATATATATATATATATATATATATATATATATATATATATATATATTTTTTTTTTTTTTTTTTTTTTTTTTTTTTAACGATCAGGGAGTCACACCAGAAGTGGATTTATTAAGGTTGGATTATCCGGAAAATTGTGAAATTGTGAAAATCACACCCATCATTGATGACGACTGAATGAAAGAGTGTGTTAAAAACTCATCACTTCTCGTGTAAAAAGGCATCTTTGGGTTTTGTGTAGAAACAATAAGTGAGTTATTCTCACAAAATAAGCAGCTATAAATAAAACTATTCAGATGTTAAAATTCATGAGAGTTTAGAGAGCAGATAATTTGATTGGCATCAGTTTTGCAGACCCTTTAGAGTTTGGTTAAGTGTTGACTATGGGAATCATTCGTAGACTAGACCACAGTCATGTCAGCTGTGAAAACGGTTTCATGAAATGTGGACATGGTTTCAGGATTAAGGATTTATAATTTTTACGTTTACGTACATTTTGGACGTGTTTTTTTATTCAAAGTCCCACTCCGATTGTTTTTTTTTTTTGTTTGTTTGTTTTTGCTAGTTAAAGTGTTCTCAGTGGTTTTTAAATTGTTAAATTGTGAAGTTTTCAGCCAGAACCACATTACCTGTGTCATTTTTGAGGGTGTTTCTTTTGCAGAGCTCCTGTAGCTCATTAGTAATCCGCCTCTGAGTCGTGGGCGGAGACAGCGCTGCTCTTCGCACTCTTCTTCCTGCTAGCTTATAGCCTAACATTGTCAGTGTAGTAGTAGAAGCAGGTAACAGAGGAGCTATTCAGCAATCCACTGAGGCACGTGCTGTTCTGCAACCGTCCTCTCAACTTCTCAGTCTGGCCTGCATAGCGGGGCTCAGGGGGCGGAGCTTGGATTCGTGACATAGGAAATCTCACTGTGCCTGAACCTGCCCGAGATTCACAGCAATTTAAATGCAGAAATATTTAGAAATGCAATTTTGCACTTACTTTGTCCTGTAGCATCAGAAAAATGAACATGTAGACAACAAGAAAAACATGATTTTCATCGGAGTGCATCTTTAAACTGTTGAAAAAATTAGATTTTAGAAATCGTGGCTGCAGTTTCGCATCGTTGTGACTGTGGTTTTCACTAATTGTTGCTTTTGTAAGATTACAGATTATATATCAGAGAGTACGGATAATAAAACATGTGCATGGAGTAGTACGGATGCACACGTGGCTCTTTTTTAATCTCACATGAATTTTTTTTTCACCATGAATTCAAAGGAAATACAGATTATAAAACCCCATTACTCATGAAACATCAGCTAAAGAATTAAAACCATTTTGGTTCTTCATGCCTGGAACAACTCCCGAATACTTGAGGTTCCCCAACACTTTGATTATTAGATAAAGATTTTGTGTGTGATGTTTTCTTAATCACAAGAGGTGATTTTGGGTCTTTTAGATGAGAGTTCCTTGATATAGATTAAAGTTAAAATCAAGATTTTAAGGTTTAATTTTCAAAAGTAAGACGACGTCTGAATATAAATGGACTAATTACAGAGTTACACTGCATATATTCATAATGTCTGAATCTGCAGAGCTCCAGCGCTCCTCTTAATCATCTACTTCAAAAGAAAACTTTTAATTTTTCACTCTTTCAAGGACTGCAGTAAAAGTGCTGCTCGTCTTTGTTTTGACATTTCAGACTGAGGAATGTATTTTGCTAATTAGTTTTTCTTTTTTTTCAAATGAAGAGAAATGAAAGCGGTAGGAGGAGGAGGAACGGGCGGCCTTGATGACGGCGCTAAACTTTTTGTCCTTCCTCTTTAATCACATCACTCAGAGGGAGATTAGAGCTCATTTTTCATGAATATCAACACGTGTTCACGCAGAAAAGATGTATTCATGCAAAAAAGAAGAAAATCAAAACCAAGATTTCAAAGGAATGATTATATATGTAGGAAACGATAAAACTTTATATTTCTATTGCTTTTTGAAACTTTGTGTATAAAAGGATGAAAATGTTCAGCTTAATGTCCCACATTTTCATATATATTTCTTGCTTAAAATGAGACGTTTGACCTCGCGTTGGTGCTTGAGGACGGGTCAATGACTCATCCTCATTGCCATCGATATCTGGCTTTGAGCCTCCGAAGGTCATCCCTTTAGAGTTAGCTCTCTATGTGTAGGTTTTGAATCTTTTTTTACAACAAAGCAGCCGAGAAAACAATCACAAAATATCCATGATCCTTTTTCCGAGAGGAGACGTTTGCAAAATTGGTCATATCCAGCTGAACCAAAGCCAGGTTTGTGAATTCGTTTTGATGTCGTTGTTACCGTCTCCCTTACCTATTAATTCACATGGTTCGTAAAAGGGTAAAAGTAAAAGAACGGACACCGCAAAAGAATGAGCGATTAACCCCACAGGCTTTATTTTTCTCCACGAAACTGTCATCAAAAGTACTGCCAACCGAAAAGAGCCGGAGACCCCGGCCAAAAGGAACAAAAAGGGAAAGGTGCCGACCCAACCGCACAATGGACCATCGCACCAGCAACCCTAACCAATTAACTCTGAAGTCCTCCTTCTACAAACTGCTCCTTCTCTGTGACCAAACATCATGCCATTTCTCCATTTCCTCGACCTGCTGTTGTGTGACAGATCGAATTTTCTTGACGTTGGTGTTGTAGTCAAGACGGCACAAACCGAGACCAAGACATGACCGAGACCAGAGAGGACCGAGACCGAGACAAGACCGAGTGAAAATGACTTCGATTCCAAGACGACACCAAGACCCTCAAAGACCGATGTTGAGTACTTCAACACTACTTGACGTGGCTGTAATCTGTTTCCATCGGTTCCAAGAGGGTTGCTTTCATGAAGAACATATACTTGTCCAATTCACTCTTCGAATGCAGGAATTGTTTGCTCATTTCTTGGCTGAGGATGGACTCAAGGTTATCCAGCTGGATGTTGAAGTTGTCCACGATGGCCGCCAACTCTTCAGTCTGCAGGTTTGACCTCCGTCACGATGGAGATGCAGTTGCTGTAGACGTTCTCTTGATAAGCGTCTGGACCTCTGTTTCTCAGATTGATGGTTATTTCTGCAGTTTTCTCACCAGTCTTCACAAAATCCTTGATTGAGACTCCTCTGTTTGTGATAGTGGTCGTAACTTTGGCCGCTGAAGCTTAAAACGGACATCTTTGAAGTATTTAACCACAAAACAAAGTACGTTTGAAAAAATGGACATCCAGCTGAAACCCCGGGTTTTCACAATGATAGCCTGGATCAAATTCAGAGTAGGTCAGGTTAGTGAAATCTTTATATACACCAAACATCACAGACAGGCTTCCAGGATCAACATGTGGATACAGGAGGCCGCTCTTCCACCTGTTCCTCCATCCTCCTCCTCCTCCTCCTCCTCCTCCTCTTCCTCAGACAGGAGGTGCTGATGGAATCAAAGCAGCGTGGATGTCGCCTTTGAAGTCGAGATGAAGAGATGAAAGGAGCTCTGACCTCTCCTCACTCCCTCTCTCTATCCCTCAGACTCGCTCTTCACTCTTTCCTCATCACGACGTATTTTCCTCTCGTCATCATCATCATCATCATCATCATCACTGATTCCTCCTCCCAAAATAAGAGTCTGCGGCTCTGTCCTTTTTTCAGAAGGTGGTGGTGGTGAAACACGACAGCAACGCTTTTAACCCTCGGTTCCTGTTCATTTACAGCTCCATCCAGCCTTCTTTGTCCCCAAAACGGACATGCAGATAAGTGTTCATTAAATAATCATTTCTAACTTTTTTTTAAACTTTTTTTTAATCAAATCTCTTCATCAACTTCAGCCCTGATCATTAAAATAATAATAGATAAAAAATTCAATGTTTCACCCTTTTTATGCCAGTTTTTGTGCTATTCTTAATGGTAAAAAACACAAAATCACCATATTTCCCATATAAAATGACCTAGATGATTTTTTTTAAATAAAAAGAGTCTGGACCATGTCAATGACGAGAAGTAAAACCGATTGTGGTGCATTTAAAATCTCCATATTTCCATATTTTAGCTCCGTCCAGCCAACTTTGTCCCCAAAACGGACATGCAGATAAGAGCTCATAAAATAATCATTTTTTAACATTTTTTCTTGGTTTTTTACTCAAATCTCTTCATCAACTTCAGCCCTGATCATTAAAAAAATAATAGATTAAAAATTCAATGTTACACCCTTTTTATGCCAGTTTTTGTTCACCATGTCATATTCATTGATAAAGTGTTTGTTCTAAACAGCTGAGTCTATGGGAGCGGAAAAACACGCCAGTTTGACCTCCTTTTCTCGAGCCATGGTCTGTTCTTCAAAGCAACGGTCTGCTATTGAGAATCAACAATCTTGTCAACAAATTTAGACCTATCCGTAGATATAAAGTTTATTATAATCTTTGATATTTTTTGAGGTTTTTAGTGTTTGTCGTCATGACAACCCCTGATTTTTTTCATCGGAAAAACACAAAACATGCAATATTTCCAAAAATGAGGTGCAAAGTGAAACATTTTTGATGATATAACAGCCCTGACCATGTCAATAGTTGATAAATATGTTGATTTTAATGCATCATTATTTTTGGCACAATGACAGTAAAAACTTCACAGCGGGGACCCAGATGGTACTGTTTTTGAAGAACTTTTCTCTCCCTCCGTTAGAGTCGGAGTTATGCGCTCTGTCTGTCCTGTAATAGCCGGATCTATTTTCTGATGTCACTGACAGACCAGATTGGCACCGGGAGGCCAATCTCAGAGCAGACCTCGCTCACAGCTCTGAAAGGTGTGTGTGTTAGCGTCGGTTCGTGTGTAGGCGGGACCTGCGTGGGTTGCAGGGCAGCGTCTCATTGGCTGCCGGGAGGTGTGTTTCCTGAGTGGCGGCTGTCTAATGAGCGCTCCTGGGAATCGAACTAGCGACTCGTGCTCCAACGTGTCCGCGGGCAGTAAGGCCTCCATCGTGCCCCCCTCACACCTCGACCAGCTGTGGCTCACGCTGCATTCGAGGCACCTGGGAGAGACAGTAAAAGCTGGTTTCCTCAGAGTAAAAATACCTTTTAGCTTGTTGTTGAGACTTTAAATACAGCATTGATTCTGTTTGGCTCAGCTCGAGGACCAAAACAACAAAAGAGGGTACACTTCAGCTCTCATTTTAGGAGGTAAGAAGATGGACAAAAAACTGTTTTGGCTCTGTTTCTGGACAGAAAATCCTCCAGATCAACTTGGCTCTCCGGTGGAACATGCTGTACAAAACACCCCACAACAGTTTTGGATTGTAAATGCTAACTTTGGCTCAGTTCGCTGAGTTTCACTGAATGCTACAAACCACTCCACTCCTTTCAGCTCCTCTATCTCTGATGATAACACACAAGGAGAAAAAAGAGTTTGGCTCGTTTAGAGACGGGAAAACAACAGAAAACACACTTTAATTTTAATGTCAAACACCACAGGGGAACATTTGTCGTGTAATTCTCTACAAACTACGAGAAAAGAAGTTTTAGTTTCTGAACGAAAAACTCTCCAAGGTTCGGCTCGCCTCGACTGTGGACCGTCAGTATGACACAGAAAATAATGAGTGCAGAATTTAGTGTTGAATTCACGACAGAAACTCAGTCGTTTTTCTAAATTGGTCTTACTGGACTCAGTGAAAAGTCCTGTTTCAAGGTAATACAAGCCAAAAATAAAGGAAGTAACTTCACTCACTTACTACTCCGCTTATGCAAGTCCAAGTGATTCAGGTCGTCTTTGTTGGTTATAATATCTTGAAATAAGAAATCTATCAGGACTTGTCAGGAAAATAAGTCTAACAGGATTAGATGCAGAGACACACACATGGTCAGTAAGCTGCTGGTCTCACAAAGCGAGTGGATTTTACAGGAAGTGCATCAAATAAAGACAGTAGTCTGGAGCAAATAATGCTCCAAATAAGAACACCAAGAAGGTACTTATGCAGGTAAACAACATCAGATATCTGGACGAAGGCAAAGATATATTACAGAAAATCAAGAGGAGCAGTTTTGCACAATTTTTTACAGTTTCATGATACTGATTTAGTCCAAGTTGTTAAAATTTACAGACATTGTTGAATATCAAACAGCTTAAATTATGTTTAAAGCTAAAAATAATCATCTACCAATAAGTAAACAGAAATTATTCACTATGCGTGAGGTAAGTTATAATTTAAGGGGAAAAATTAACTTTAACCTTAATTCGGACAAAGAGGACGGGTTTTTGTGTTTCGAGAGCCCTGTTTACATGGGTCCAAAAATCCTATTTACAATCAGATTGAAAGGTCAGTCAGATTCAAAATGTCTCATATAAACACCTTAGCCAATCTGATTCACGCGGATCTGATTGTATTTCGGGTCGGATTGTTAGAGGTAGTCCACGCCGATTGATAATCCGCTCCATGCTCCATATATACAGCTGAGCGGATTGGGATTACAGAGAGGCACGTAGTGACGTACGCAGTCTGTCCAAGTATCGACTATTAACTGCTGTGACTTCAGAGCCATCTTTCTACAGGTAAACAGGAAGCAGGAAGTGCACCTCTTCTTCTCTTACACATTTGCAGGTAGTGGCAGAGTGACCTTTTGCGCATTTAAAAAAAACAATACAATTGGATTCAGCTGGGGCCATGTTGCATTGAAATGGCGTGTTTTTGTTTTTTTTAGCTTGTTAAATCAGTTTTTTGTTGTTTTACAGACGTCCGACAGATACAGAGACGGTTATCATCTTAAAGATGCTGCGATTTCTGAGTAGATTATGAACTTTTATTTAACTCACATCTTTGAAATAATCTTGTACACGGAGTCCTCTGCATATTAACCTTAAATTTCATAATGTCATCATCTCAGCACTGAGAATTCTGGGAGATGAAGTTTTGTGACCAGGAGCTCTCACATTTCTGTCTCTGAGTTTGTTTTCTCTTTTGTTTCCTGCAGGTCACAAACGGAGGAAATCTTCTGTTCTCTGAGGAAAGTACAGTCAGGAGGATTATGTAATCACACACACACACACACACAAAGGCTCTCTGCACACAGACACACACAGGCCACAGACAGCACATCAGTGTGTCACGCTGTCAGTGCATCTTGACATGTCCCCTCCTGACAGGATTACACTTGTTGATTTGTTGATGATATCACACACACACTCACACACACACACTCAGAGGCGGTTAAACACACACTCTGTAGACACACACTCGCTGTCAGCTCATCACCTGATGCCTCAATCCGCCACACACCGAGCTGTCAATCATCCTCTTAGCTGCAGCCAAGAAACAAAATGTCTTCCAGAAATATGTGCGCTTAGTTTTTGGCAGTTTTTTATCGCTGCGGCACAAATCTGTGTTAAAGGTACATTCTGTCATTTAAACGTGTGAAATAAAGCGCAAAGTTCAAATCACATGACGGGAACCTGTTGTCCCTCCAAAATTGATTGACATGTCATTAAACAGAAACGCCGGACCTCATCTTAGACTTAGAAATGTTCGCTGCTTAAAAAAAACAGTTTATTTCCAGTTTTCATTTACATGACAATGAAAATAAGTGTTTTTTTTCTTTCTAACAGAGGTAGTTACTAAGATAACAACAGTCCCGTTTAAGTAGAAGCTGCCAATTTTGGACTAAAGAGAAAAAGACGAGATTTTACACACCAGATTCCCCATGTTTAAACACATTCAGTGTTTTTGTCTCATTTAAACTAATTTTATCCAAATTCACCTGACAAGTCCAGGAAAAAAAAAGACTTTTTTCAAGGTATCACCTGCTGAAAATAACGACTAAAGAAAAAAAACCTACTTTATGAGTTTCTTCAATTCTCAAAAACTGAAGATTCATTTTTGCCTTCTTCCAATTTTACCCATCATGAGCGAATTTAGTTCTTAATTTCAGAGTGAAATAAGATGTTTTCTGGATTTGTCAGTAAGAGGAGGCTTCAGGTTTGAGTATTTGCAAGTATTTGCTGTTGACATGAGCGAAAATCTCAGTGAAATCGATTTAAACACAGTTCGATTAAAGTACACGGATGAACGGCACACTTGAACCGCAGAAAAGAAGCTGAATCTGGTCTTAAAATCACAAATAAAACCCTTTCCAGCATGCGGTGCACATGTCACATCGCTAAATGATTTCATGCCGTCAGCAACAACAATGACAACATGACACGAGTGAGCGCCGAATGAAGATGAACACTTGATGGAGAGAATATTTTCTAATGTGATGGTTATTGATCTGCGCTGAATGTTTTATTCCCAGAGGACTATAGGAGCAGGGATGAAATCATTTCATTTAGTGCAGTTAAATACACGAGTCTGGTACACGGAGCATTTGAAGGTAAAGCAGAAAATGAGGTTTCTTTATTTCAAAATATAAAAAAAACGTCAGAGGTGAAAGAGGGATCAAGGATGCTCTTGAGAATACTAGTTTCATTGAATTTCTCAAGAGAGCGCTCAGTTATTAATGAGTGCTCAGACTGGCATTGGTCAGTCGCCATTCATCAATAATATATTCAGATGAAATTGAGTATGAATAACAGTCTGAGTGAACATGAAGGAAAGCAGCCAGAGATAAAGATAGACACAGCACAGCTGAAAACGCTGGATCTGATCTTTGGAGCCTCCGTCACACATGCACTCCCGATCGTTTCTGCCAGTCTCAACATTTACAGGCTTTTTCAGCACGCGGCTCTGAAGCCTGCAGCCTCGTCTGTTTGTGGATATGGAGAGGGGGATGAGTCATGGGAGGTGGGTCACGACATACAAAGGCACACTGTCATGTTTTTTTCAACAGGAAGGAGGACAAAGAGGCAAAGACTGATGTCAAGGTGATGCTTTTCTAGTCATGCTTCATGCAAACTGACCAATCTGCAGACGTCTTTCTGCAGATTTCCTCTTTACTGGAGTCAAATCATGTCATTACATCCTCGTCTTCCCTTTACTTAATTTCAACACCCTGTTAATGTTTAAAAAGATATTTATTTCGGTGACTCTATTATCCTCACAGCCTCGGATAGATGGAAACGTCATCCATACCCATCAACACCCCTGCTGCTCACTGTGATTTCTCCCGCTGCGCTCTCATATCAGCTCGATCCGCCGTTCTTTGGCTAATTTTACAGGTTAATTGGCAGGAGATGGAAGAATAGATGGTGTGATTGAAAAATGGAGGGAGAGGAGAAGTAAACGATGCACGGTGATCTGGATGGATGAGATGTAAAGATTTATACGTCATGATCGGTTAAATGAACTGATGGATAATAAAGACGAGAGGAAGGTTGGGAAAAAGTTGGATGGAAAGATGAATGGATGAGTGATAGACTGATGGTGGATGGGAAGATGGATACACTAATTAATAAATGGATGAAAGGATGGACGAATAGGGAAAATGATGGATGAATGGATGGAAGTAAGATGGTGGAAAAGATGGATAGATGGATAATTGATAGATTGGAGAGTTAAAGGTATTGACGATAAATAGATGGTTGCATGGAAGGATAATTAAGTAATTAGGTAATGGGCAGATGAAAAGAAATGTAAGACAGATAGATAGATAGATAGAAAGAAAGAAAGAAAGAAAGAAAGAAAGAAAGAAAGAGAAAGAAAGAAAGAGAAAGAAAAGGTAGGTAGATAGACTGATGGATGGATGGATGGATGGATGGATGGATGGATAGATAGATAGATAGATAGATAGATAGATAGATAGATAGATAGATAGATAGATAGATAGATAGATAGATAGATAGATAGATGAGTGATAGAGTGTGAAAGTGTAAGAGCCTGTCTTGAATAATTATAAATAATAATTAATGGTGATCAGCCTCCTGTTGGTGGCTGACCTTGCTGTTACTATGGAGACCAAAACACACCAACACAATAACAGAGGATGCTAAATAGCTGTGCGTGAGCCTGTGAGTGTGCTTGTGTTTCATTTCATTTGAGACAAGCTGTAGCTGGCAGCACATTAATGTGTGTGTGTGCTGAATTAATGAGAAAGGATGATGACACACACAGACAGTAAATGGCTCTCCAAATGCTCAAGGGTGTGTGGTTTTGTATTACAGTGTGTGCGTGAGTGTGCGCGTGTGTTTATGCGCTCTGTGTTGGAGGTGGAGCCTGCGGATTGATTGGCAATATTTTGCGATGGCTGCCATGGTAACAGATGCTTAGAAGAGAGAGGAATTTGAAATCTGTCTTCCTCTCTGCTCACACCGAGACACAGATCTTCACACCTGAGAAGTGAGCTCCTGAAAACTGCACCTCAGCTCAATCAGACTTATTTCAAACTGATCCTGTTCATTGTTCGGACAGGTAGAGTACAGTGACCTTTTTTTTAGTCACATGGTCAACAGGCAGAGCGGGAAGCAAAAGGTCCCGCCCTCCTTCACCTCCGATTGGCTAGAAGTACTCGGCTCTGATTGGTTATTTCTAATGGCTGTGAAACGTCATCATCTGTCGGGTTAGGGTTAGGAACCAAACGTCTTTTTAACTTTGACTCATTTCTTTAGCAAAGAGACTAAACACAACTCACCTACTCTCTTCCAGCAGACGCTTATTTGTAGCGAGACCTCAGGCCAGTCCATTACGGACTACAGCGGGGTGACGCAGCTCAAGGAAGAACATTTATGATCATTTCTTTATCGTTTCCTTGAAGTAATAATCACCATATTTATCATTTTGCTCTGCAGACGCGGTAGTTCTTCTGTCTTAGCGTCTCGATCTGATTGTATTTCCATGAAAAAAATGATCATAAATGTTCTTCCTTGAGCTGCGACACCCCGCTGTAGTCCTTAATGGACTGGCCCAAGGTCTCCCTACAAACAAGCGGCTGCTGGAAGAAACTTCAACCTGGAGATATTGTTTAAAACTGAGGATGCAGCATCTATGATTTCCAATTCTTCATTGAAAGTAGGCGAAACGTCTCAAGTAAGTCCAGTTGTCCTTTCCAAAAGAATGTTAGATTTCGATTCATCAGACCTCAGGACAAGTGATATTAAGCCCATGATGCGGTGATTCCAAATACAGAGTCAAGGAAGAACATTTATGATCATTTCTTTATCGTTTCCTCTAAGTAATAATCACCATATTCATCATTTTGAACTGCCTTAGCGTCTCGGTCTGATTGTATTTCCATGAAGAAATGATCATAAATGTTTTTCCTCGAGCTGCGAAACCCCGCTGTAGTCGGTAATGGACTGGCCTGAGGTCTATATGTCCTGTTGATGAAGTTAGGTGCTGTTCTGAGCATTATTTGTGTCTATAGAGTGGCGTTTTGGTTGACGGCGTGGCTCTCTGTATTGCTATCCTGCGGTCATTACTAAAGTTGGTATAACTAGAGAAGCAAGCGGTCGGCAACATTCATCTCTGGAGGGGGCGTCTAACTCAGTGTTATGGTGTGTTTGACCCTAAATTAATTTTACGCCGGAATATCCCTTTAAGTGTATTTAGAATTCATTTAATGTTGCTTAATGGCTGATTGAATTTCCCCTCTGGAATAAATAAAATTCTTCTTATCCTATCTAAACGAATCAGAATCAAGGATTTGAAGTGACTGGCGGCTAAGAAACAAAGCCGAGTAATAATTTGGGTTATTACTCCATTAAAAGCTTGTTTCATGAAACCACTTCACAACAGAGTCTCAACAAAGGAGGTTCGGGATAAACAGCTCGTTCATCACGGGTTTAGAGGTTCTTCAGACCGTCCTCCATGTTTTAAATGTATATACAGAGCTTCTGTTTATGCAGCGCTGCATTTGGAAAGAGGTAAAGAGACCTCACCTGTTCGCATACTTAATGGGATAATCAACCACATCTCTCAAAGATGGGGTCAAAGGTCATCTGACAAAACACCTCCTTTGTTTTCCATCTGCGTTCTCGTGACGCCCAGCCACTCAAACACGGCGACCTCAGCCCCACCCACCGTCACCTTACCGTTGTTGTTTCTCCTCTCTGATTGGCTGACCTGCTGGCCCGTTAATTTAGCCGCTGTGTGTTCACTCTGCACAGCAATTAGCGCTGATTTGCATACTTCAAAGCACCTTTTCAAACACCCAGCCCCCCCGGCAGGGAAAAAAGCAGCTGCTACAATAAGTCAACCATAAAGGCAATGAGCTGTGTCCGTCAAACATGTTTTTCCACCATTTAGCCTTTTTATATTCATCATGATTATCACCGGCATGGGTGAAACGTAGTTATTGGAGGGTATAGATGAAACCAAATTTAAAACAGCAGGTTAATATTTTCTACTTTGTTTTTATTTCAAAGCTAAACAAGTAAAAAAATCAGATGTTTCCATTGAGTCGACACTTCTGAAATTTCATATTTTGAATTTTTACTTGTGAATCCTAATCAGCCATGACATTATGACCCCTGAAGTGACGTGGACTTACTGAGTTAGTAAGTAGGATTTGTTGGACAGGAAGTGAACATAGTGTTTATTTGATCAAATTTACATAAAGTACAATTTTAGACAAGAAATTCCCTATTTTTGGGGATCAAAAAGTAGGTTAAAGCTATTTAGCTTTTATGTAAAACCCCCGTGGGTAGAAGGAAAACTGTTGAACCAGTGACAGGATCCTGGGTGGGCGAGTCTCAGTGATGTGGGACTGATGGGCTGGCCCGTATCCAGTCCACAGAGAAGCTGCTGGGGCCCCATCTGCTGAAAAACATCCCGCTGGTTCTGACTGAAAGGTGTCAGACCACAAAGTGCCGCGCAGTTTGTTGATCCTGAACCTGCTGCAGGGTAAGGTGACCAGATTTCTGTCATGAAATCCAGGGACATCCAGAGTTGGGAGGGGGTGGCAAGGGCTGCGTGATCACAGACAACATCTCGGTTCTACTTTGTAGCATCGTATGCCCCCCGTAAAAACTGTTGTTCAGGACTGCGCGCAACATGCTTACTCGTGCTTCCTACCTACTCAGCTACCATATTAACCATCATTCTAGTCTACACACAACATTTTTGTTCTCATTCCTGAAACACTTACATTGGGGACATTTCCAGGGACAGCTTTAGCCGTGGACAGGTCATCGAATACGGGGGACTGTCCCTGGAAATCGGGAACATCTGGTCACCTTACTGCAGGGCGGTCAGGTGCCTGTTTGGATGAAGATCTGAAGAATCTGAAGAATTTAATGATATTTAATTCTTCGTCATGATCCCCTCTTCATCCGTTGCTTTGCATTCCAGCTTGGATGGTCATGTAACACAGTTGCACTATCTAACGACTAGCCTAGCCTAGCCTAGCCTAGCCTAGCTTAATAAGCTGCACTGACTTCGGTTAAAACCATCACTTTCAAAGATCTGAGAGATATTTGGTGACGTTACATAAATATTCTTGCTGTCAAATATTCCAAAAAATCCACTTTTATCTTTCTCTGTAAAAGCAATAACTGTGTTGTTGTTGTTCATCACTTACAGGAGTGTACTTTTATTACATCCGGATGTTATGTGTCCCAAAATAAAGCCACAAAGTAGATAAGCTAAATCCATCAAGCAGCTCCGAAAAGTGTGTTTAAAAGCAGAGTCTGCCGACGGTTTACATCGAGGGAACATAAAAGTTGCTCATATCAAGAAGAAACGCAGCTTGCACTGTAAAACATGACTCCAGTGACATCTTATTGAGTTTTAATATTGTAAAATAAAATACTTCTTCCACAGTGCAGAGGCCAGAGAAGAAGGATGGCTTTATTCTAGCTTTGTCTAAGGCCCGGGGCACAATAAAGAGGAAGGAAATAATATTTTATTATGCTCTCCATCCAAGAAAACCTCCATAAGAAAAGTATCACAGACTATTTGTAATGTGAGAAGAGAAAATGTGCTGATATTTTACACTGCGACTGAGGAAGATACATGGAAATTAATAAAGGGGGAAGAGAAAGAGGCCCTAGATCTCCAAAAGGCTCTGATTTTATACAACAGTTCAACAGATTATATCATAATTTGATTTTATATAACACACACAGACAATGAGGACGGACTCGTAAATAACCTGGAGTCCTTTCTGTCAGCTGTCCCTGTCCTTTAGTCTCATCCTTTCTTCCTCCTCCTTTTGTGTTGCAGGTCATCCGGCTAACGGGTTAATTAGCAGAATGAAGTGCTCTGCAGAGGAAATGTCAGCCACACTGGCTGCGATCTGACTTCCTGGATGGGAGGTGAAAGGTCGACGGTGGGTTTACTGAACCTCTTCCCTCTCACCTTTATCTAAATGTCACCCAGGAACCATTACTGTGGGCTCCACTGAGGGACACTTCATGTGGCGGACTGAAGGCGAGACGTTCCTCACTGTCGATGATGGACCCAGCGACCCCTGAGACTCCGCTAAACGCTCAATCCGCTCAAAGTCACCGAGGTTCAACGGGAACACCACGAGGAGTCCGCGCTCCTTGTTTCTGAAGGTCTTACAGGATCGGGATACTCCGGGGGGAATGAAATATCAGCCTCCTGTGTGGATGAGACAAAGGTTTTCAGACAAATGACCTAGAATTAGAGTCAGAATTCATGGTCCCAGGAGGATGAACCTGCAGTGAATCTGTTTCTGGACCTTTACCTCTACAGCCATCGTACGATCTTCCTGGAGAGGTATCTGGGAACTTGTAAACTGGGTTTAAATCTAGTCTTTGGAAGATCCCCAGAGGATGAACCCTTTGAGTTTTTCTTAACCCTGGTACTTTTTATCTGGAGCTCCTGGAGGACCAGTGGAACCCAGATTTTTCACTTGTTCATTAAAAAAAGAAAAATGGTGGACTGTTACTCTTGATTCCCCAGAGGATGAACCATTTGTGAGTTTTCTGACCCCTATTCCTTTTATCTTGAGCTACAAATGAACACCAGATTTTTCACTCGTTCATAAAAAAAACAACAAACTGTAGACTATCACTTCTGATGTTCCCCAGAGGATGAACCCTTGGATGTTATTGGTAGGGGAAGGTCCCGCCTCCTTTGGCTCTGATTGGCTGTGAAACATCATCACATGCTGATCTTAGGCTGTCGGCTCTGTACATTGAACAGAACATTACGGAACATTAAAATTCTGGATCTCCTAACCCTAACACTAACCGAGAGATGATGACGTTTCGCAGCCATAAGGAATAACCAATCGGAGCCCAGCACTTCTTGCCAATCAGAGGCGAAGGAGGGCGGGACCTTGCCTACCATCCTGCGAAAAAACATTTTGACTCTTGGCGACTCTCCCGCCGAATGCGTTCAATTCTACTGCACGAGTGGTAGAGTGCGTACAACGATACTGCGCAATGTTGGTTTCAGGAAGTGGAGAAAAAACGCAGAATTACCGAGAACTTTTCAGCTTCAGATCTGTATGCTTGTTGAAGACAGAACCAAGTTGTCCATAGTAGTTACGGTTTATGGTGGTAACACCCAGTATTTCCTTACACTCAGACAATTCACAGCTGATAATCAACCGAGAGAAGCTTCCACACAAAGTATCTCAAAACTCGGCTCCTGAGATCCCCAGAGTATGAACCTTTTCTGAGTTTTGAATGACAGTACGAGAGATAGGAGGTCTCATTTTGTCCACAGGTGATACCAAATTCAACACTAACCTAAAGTTCCTCACTGCGGCTCGAAACTGGAATAATAATAGTTGTATTAAACCGACAACCTGATGGCGACCCAAAAGACCTCAGGACTTTTGGTGCCTAAACACACCCAAACTTTTTGTTGTTGTTGTTGCTCTCGTTCGGCCTGAATGAAACGTTAACATTTACGGAGTTTTCTTACATCGAGTCCTGAAGACTGCCGGTAAACCTTTGGTGCTACGTTCATGCATTACTATCCTGACATCTCAAACATGTGGTAAAAACAAACCACTTCATATCGGTATAGAAATGTGGGACTTTTGTCTCACTTATTAATCTGTATATGAGGGATGTTCGGTCTCATTACTGTTTTTTTTTCTCATCTCATTGATTCTCTATTGTAGGAGCTTTTATTCCCATTGGAAATGAAACCTTGGCATTCAGCTCTCACTCTACAGTATTAAGTTTAATCAACACCCCGTCGCGGCTCAGGACATCGCATTCAGTTCAAGCTACACGGGGAAGAATAAGGCTGATTGCTGCATCTCATAGTTTACAGCTTCATTATAATGTGACTCATTAGGATCCCTTTCAGCTGTTTCCTCTCTACAAATGTTGTTTGGTGCGTTTATACTGAAGGCAGCAGATTATTCCTTTGGAGAACAGTGATACACGCAACAAGCTGAGAGAATTACAAGAGAAAAGATGGTTAATTTGGAACTCATATGAAGTCATCTTTATAGGGTATTGTTTCCAAACAGATACAAAAATGGGAGAAAATATTGTTATTATATTAAATAGTCATACAAAGACTCATGTTGTCTATTATTTCCTGTTTGAACAGCCTTGACTCGGGTTTTTTTCAGTTTTTGTTCCCACTCTAAATCAAGAAGAAAAATACCCATGTTCTTTTATAGCTGTTATAATGTTTTCAACAATTTCAAGCTTAATTTAGTTTAACGAGCTGTGTAAGAAGTTCATAGCCGCTCAGTCTGAGATATGAAACCAATACAGAAGCGCCTTAAAGCTGCTTTCTCTACAGTGACCAGCAGGGGGCTTCAATACAGACTGTAAACATAAAAATTGTAAAGTATTAATATTAATGTTTATACTCTTCACTTCTAGTTTAAAGTCTTCTTGATGTGTTTTAGTCGGTGTTACTCCCAGTTTATTGAAATCTTTGAACAATCTTGCCGCCAAAACTAAAGCTAGAAAATCAGCTGTTCCCGTGTTTACAGGCCTCTGTAGCCGATCCATGTATTGATTCTCTTCTGCTTAACTTGGATGGGATTGGGTCAATCCAGACATCTATCTCCCCAACAATGTTTCCCATGCAGTCCTTCTGGAATCCTGACTCAGGAACCCACGGATTCAGTCGCGCGTTAACAAGTTATCTCTAGCCACAGAGGCTAACCATATAAGCAGTAGATTGTGTCCTTCCAGAGGAGGAAATCTACTTCTAGACTTCTAGAATCAGCATCTCCTCATCCATGGTGTCATCAGGGTGAAATGACGTCTAAAAACCTTTCACTTGTTCGTCTCCGCCCGTTTGCATGGTGTGAAATACGATCCTCCTGAAACACGTAGTGGTTGAAAGGTTACGATCAGCTACGATCAGTGGATACGGCCTTTTAGTAGACATTCAGGATGCGGTGGAAAATGGGGGTTAGACGTTCCCAGGCCTCCAGCGAGCTCTAGACTAAAAGAGTCTCCTGCCCCTTGTAAGGGTTAGGAGGTGGTCCACAGTGCCATGGCCAGGTATAAAAGGTAGTCCACATACAAACTTTCAAGACTTCATATTGGCCAAGTTCCCCTTTTTTTGGATTGTACATGATGACATTGTAGGAGTTTCCCACCCTGAGCAAGATGGCTGCCATCATTTCAAAGGTCACACCCCTTCCTGGCTTTAACTGAAATAAGGGAATTTTACCTTGAACAGAAATGGGCGCTGCAAACCAAAAAAAAAAACGAAGTCTAACAGCCTCATTGTCTGCTGAAAGCGAATTTATGAACCAGATTTCATGTCAGCCGGCCGAGCAGTTGTCGAGGTGTTCGAGTCTTCTGAAGGCGGCGAACCAGCTGACCAGCAGACAAACTGGCGTTTCCTTCAGTGGAGCAGCAGAGCTGACAAAACAGAGCAGACGACGTCACAGGTATCCCATGAGCTTTCAACATTATCAACTTCCAGCAGAGACTCATTATTTATGCTCTACGTTCCTCCCTCTCTCTCCCTCTCTCTCTCTCTCTCCCTCTCTCACACACACACACACACACACACACACACACACACGTAACCTCTGGAGGTTAATCTAATTTGTAAACGGCGCATGAGTGTGTTTGTGCAGACAATTTGTCACTCTCTTATACTGAAAACACTTCCTTAATTGTCACAGCTTTGTTGTTTTTTTCGCTCCTGTCGAACTGAAGCCGCAGAAACTCTCATTCATATTCATTTCAGATATTTTTATTTATACAATCCCTCCGTTTGTGTGTGATCTTTCTCCCCGCTCATTTCTTCTGTGGTTTCTGTTACTGTTTGTTGCTCCAACGCGCCGATTTCCCCCTCAGGGATCAATAAAGTTTCATCTGATCTTATCAATAGATGTTTACCGTCGCTGTCTAATTAATTTGGCTCGTTAGCAGCAGGTAGCCGCCGTAGATTACAGATTACAGTCTATTCATCAAAGCAGGAGGAGGCGAGCTCGCTGAATGTAAAACAGCTTCCTGCTACGGGGAAAGGAGCTGCTGCAGCGAGCGATTTGCACCCTTCCTGGATGACCCCTGACCTCCAGGTTCTCGCTGCTGGACTCGAGTCCTGGGAGGAGGCCAGTGTTCAGGGAAATCTAGTTTTACTGTGTGATCTAGTCTAAGATGAGAGTTTTTAACACAGGTTAATACTGACACGTCACTGTTCAGCATCAGTCTGATTCAGGGGCAGACTGGGCCCATAATTCAGGTCAGGAGTTTGATTCCATCCAGGCCAGGCCAATACACATTGACGCGGAAATGCGGCACCGGAGAAAAGTTTTTGACATTTAAGCCAGATTTAGTGAATACGCCAAGCCAAAGACCAAGTTTAGGAAACTTTTTAAGATCCCTGAGTAACAAATAAATGCGTCAAAAGAAAGTTCAAATTTTCAGTATTCATTTCATTTATTTATTTATTTTTTTTCGAATGTGTGTGCAACACTGAAAGTAAACTGAAAACAAACAAACATAACCAGTGAGAATATTTAAAACAACAATAACAATAATCAAAGCAAAAATGTAAAAATAAAATACAATTTTATTTTAAAAAATAAACAAATAATAATAATAATAATAATAATACGAACCCAACATGTCCGAAAAGAAGTATTATGCTTTTTTTTTAACCTACCACTTCTCCTTTACTCAATAATATCAGTCATTCTCCAGAAAAATTAAATTATATTAACAAAAAATACAACATGAATAGAATAAATACGTACATTAATAATTTGTAAAAACACCCGATAGTTAAAGCCCTTCTTCCTCCCTGTGCCTGGTGAGAACCATGTTTTTGTACCACTTCTTAAACCGGGTCATACTTGGACAACGCTTGAGCTCCACACAGAAACGCAAAAACTTTTCATGTCGTACGTGGAACGTGGTTCGTTTTCATCATTAATACTAATTTTAATTAAAAATGTTCCATTAGTTTCTTATCAGTATTCCAAATTTATGTCTATTAATTTTATTTTTGTCATTAAAAAGCAGAAAATCGAGACACTTTTTACCTCTTCTATATAACAGCATTGACTTTGTGGTTAAATACCTTTTTTATCATGGATTTATGGTCTGTACTGGGCGGTTCAGACCATCTCTGTCTGCAGACATGTCCTCACAGCAGGGGGTCTCTGTGCAGCAGGTGTGCCTGCAGTTTGACCATCATAATAATAAATACTGTCCTCATGTCGCTGTAAGTTAAAATGACCTTAATTAACTCTTCTTCTTGTTTCTGTCTGTAAACGAGTCTTTTTGTCTTGTTCTGTTCTGGTTCAGAGAATTTAAAGTCTTTTTTTTTTTTTTTACTTTCTCTCTGTTTTTATAACGTCAGTCAGTCTGACCTTGACGAGAGGTGACCGAATAAACCATTTCAAAAATGCCAGACAGAAACTTCCTACTGATGTTTAACTTTCTAAGTTTAATCAATCAGTATTTTAAACTAAACAACAAACGTATTTTCCTTGTGTTTGTCCTGATGACCTGTTTTATTCAGAAGTTTTACCTGCTGTTTCAGAGCTTCTATTGTTGTTGTGTCCTGTTCTGTGTTCCTGATGTTTCCTGTTTTATTTTGAAGTCCTCTTGTGTGTATCTCGTGTCTCATTTCACTTCCTGTGTTTTCTCTCTTGTTTGATATCTGATTGGTCTCCCCTGTGTCTGTTTGGTCTCACCTGTGTCTGTTTGTGTCTTTTGCTGCTTCTCTTCCTGAAGTTCTTCAGTGTTGGACTCTCTGAGTTTGAACTAAAGTGAGTTTTGTTCATATTTTGCCTTTTTTCGGCTCCCTGAGGCTCATATCTTTGTTCAAGTACTTTGTGAAAATATCTGCATGTTTCTGTGTATTTTGGGTGTTCAGGAATGGAAAAGCTTCAATATTCAATCATATTTTGACAACTCCATTGTCTCGTCTCTGTTTTAGCCTGTTTACCCATAATGACCACAAATCACTTCCTGGTTGCCTGAAGCTCATATGGACACCCTCTTCCTTGTATAATTTTTCATTTTCTTGTTTATTTTACAAATGCATGAAGCACAGCTTCATTATGTTTACAAAGTAGATGCATGCCTACAGGTTTTTCAGCCATGACTTATTTGTAAGGCCTGTTTCTGGTGAGGCTCCCCAAATTAAAACAGAAACGAAGGAGCCCTGAGTTTAAAAGACTCCAGACTGTTAAAATCACGGCATAAGATCGATGTAGAAAAGGACAAAGGAGGGACGATCTCAGGCATTTTTAGGTCGGTAGTCAGTAGTCAGTGGTTGACTGTATTTTTGCACAACAGTACGACTGTGCACAAAGGATTTTTTTATTATCTTATGGCTTTTGTTGATGGAGAAAATTTGCACTTTTAAGACAAAATATAAGTGTCATGCATTAAGTATAAAGGTTGAATCGATTGGAAAACCAGCCAATTAGTATTCATTGATAATTGCCTGTAAACACAACACACACCGCCACTTTCATTTCTATCTATCGCAGTTTTATAATTTGGCTTTCTCTCCTCTGTTAACATTATGGAAATGTTTATGACCGATACAGCAGCCAGTCAGCAGGGGGAGCTCTAACTCTCTTGGCTTTTATTTCTATTGTTTCGTGAGCTGATTGAGTAATTTGTCGCTGGTAATGTTGGAAAAGTATCGACCATATCAGCTTTAGGTGTCGGCTTTAAGTAGCCCTCGTTCGTCCAGGTTAGTGTCCAAGCTAACGTTAAGTTACGGAAGCGAAAGTAAACTTGAGCCCTGAACCAGGTTAGCCTAAAAGGTGTTGTCATCAGGATCTGCGGAAGTTCTAGTTTTTAGGAGCCTCACAACCAATCAGGTTAGAGGAGGTGGAGAACGGCTTTGTTTACAGTCAGAAAGAGCGGACCGCTCAAAAAACATTAAAATGTTGACGACACAGACATAAGAGAACACAGAGATATTGTTATATTACCAAATGTCATCAATAACTAATAACTATTGACTGATATTAGAAGATTTTTGTATAAAAACCACAAAATAAAAAGATGCTTCTTTAACAGATTCCTGTCTACTTCACCTTTAAGTCGGTTTTCTTCTTGTGGACCAGACTTCTTTCCTTAGACTAGAGATCAGCTGGACTCTCTCATATGAACACTGAGTTCTTGTTGCTGATGTGGATCTGTGTGAGTCTGAGTGTGTTTGTTTTTTGCTGCCATTCTTGGTCAGGACCCCCCCTGAAAAAGAGATTGATGATCTCAACAGGACTAGTCTGGTTACATCAAATCAAAAAGACACACAACCTGCCTCCTGTCTTTGTCCTCTACAGAAAACCTGATCCAGCTGCAGGACTCACATCTGGGACATGTAAGACCACATGGATCCATGACCCAGACGGACCGGTAACATGACATCCAGCAGAAACAGACACAATAAAGACAAACAGACGAGGTGATTTCAGTGACTCAGTTTAAGGATTTTTATGATTTTTTTACCCACAATCAGAGACTTGACCACAATCTGAGCTGAGTCAGAAACATCCAAACAGTCGGACTAATAAATGTGATTATTATTATTATTAGAGTGATTGAAAAGCTCATAACAACATGTAGATCTGTCCAAAGTCTGATTCTAGATGTCTTTACAAACACACTGATCCAACAGAAGCAGACAGAAATATCCATCGATCACATGAACACAAATATTCAGCAAACAGAGAAAGAAACAGATCATCTGAAGAGTTTTTGGGGACGACTGGAAAGACTTTAGACGCTTGGATTTGGGACAGGAAATAAGGTCGTCCTTTTTCATCTTTCTGTTATTTTGACGTCACTTTTTTCTAAATCAATCAATCAATCAATCAATCAATCAATCAATCAATCAATCAATCAATGTCTTATTTTATATAGCGCTTTTCATACACAACATATAGCACGAAGTGCTTTACACAGAAAAACGAATAAAAGATTAAAGATTAAAAAAATACACAAATCAACCTCAGCCCAACCCCTCATTCCCGTCCCACGATCTTAATGCATCAGAAACAGTAAAGTGCATGAACTTAAAAAGGACTTGGAAACAGAGGAAACATCATTTTAAAACTCAAGATAAGGAAACACTGGAGGTTTATGTTAAAATCTAAAGACAAAGTAACGTAGAATGAAATTTAAGAAATAATAAATGAAATGAAATAAAAACAACAGTAAAAGATACTAAAATAAGAGCACCAAAGTAGCTCAATAAAAGACAATCCTGTGATTAAAACTAGAAGAGATAAATGCTAAAACACTTAACGAAGTCAATGATATAAAAAATTTAGTTAAAAGCAAGAAGAAAAGGTATGTTTTCAGGTTGCTTTTAAAATCATTAGGAAGTCTCAGTCTAAAGTCTCAGACCTTCAACATCTGCACCAACTGAAGGTGATTTGAACAAACCATCATCTTGATGTTGTTGATATCAAACTTGATGAAGATTTTTCAACATGAGAAATACAAACAATCAAAGTTCTCCACAATCACTGTCCTTAAAGCTGCGACCAAATCAGCATCTTTAGAAAAGAATCAAAAAGCTGAAATGAAGAACTAAACCCAGAGTTTTTGGTGAGACTGATCCACAAACATTTACAAACCAGAACATTTCAAGAGTTCAAGGATCTCAGTCCATGATTTTGGTCTGATGGACTCAAAATTCTCTTTATTTCACTTCTATAAACTCAGCAGAGGCTCCATCAGACCAGGGTACCAGTCCAGCATGTAGAGGTTCAGTGAATGTGGTCTGGACTCTGTGGAGGAGAGTCATGGTTTCAGAGATGCTGTAGAAGGACAGAATACCTGCTCTGTGATCCAGGTACACTCCTACTCTGGAGGACTGAGGACCGGAGACATCAGTGATGACACTGTTGTGCACAAATTGATAACCGTCTTTATAACAGTTTAACCTCCAAGATTTGTCATTGTATCCAAATCTACAATCCTCTGATCTCCCTGCTCTCCTGATAGTCTTGTATGCGACTGCTACACCAACCCCATATCCTCTCCGCTCCACCTCCCAGTAACAACGTCCAGTCAGACTCTCTCTACTCAGGACCTGAACCCAATCAGTGAATCTGTCTGGATGATCAGGATAAGACTGAAGTTGGTCTGTCCTTGTTGCTCTTCTGTTTCCATCAGATAATAACAGATCTCTGTTTACTGTGTTTGGATCCAGTGTGATTCTTTGTGAATATTTTAAGAAATCAGCTCTGGTCTTGGGTTCTGCTGGTTCTGGTGGTTCTGACAGTAAAACATCCACTTCAGTCACTGCCTGTGAGACGTTTGTCCACGTCTCTGTCAGAAGATCCTGGAGTTTCTCTCTGACCTCTGACACAGCTGCTGTCACCTCCTCAAAGTATCTCAGAGGACGGATGTTGATCCTGGATGAGTCTGCAGGTTGACCCGGTTCTGACAGTGAGGGGTAGCTGTGCAGAAACTGGTTGTGGTCCTCTGTGAGTGAGAGCTTCTGCAGATCAGCGTCTTTCCTCTTCAGCTCAGTGATCTCCTGCTCCAGCTTCTCCTGAAGGTCTTTGACTCGACTCACTTCACGTTCCTGCTGGGATCTGACCTGCTGCTCCACCTCAGAGCGGCGTTTCTCCATCAGACAGATCAGCTGGCTGAAGATCTCCTGGCTGTGCTCCACAGCTTTATCAGCAGAGCCGTTGATAGCCTCCACCTCCTGTTGGAGCAGCTTCACATCTTCTTCTCTGTCCTGGATTCTCTGCTGGATGTTTTCTCGACTCTCCTCCAGATCTTTCTGCCTCTCAGTCCTTTCTGCTGCAGCTGAGACTATGTCGTGACCTTTGTGTTGTTCCACAGAGCAGAGATAACAGATAGACTGTTGATCAGTGCGGCAGAACATCTTCATTACCTCACCATGACGAGAGCAGATGTTCTCCTGGAGCTTCTTGGAGGGCTCCACCAGCTTGTGTTTCTTCAATGGAGGAGATTCAAAATGAGGCTGGAGGTGAACCAGGCAGTAAGAAGCCAAACAGACCAGACAGCACATGACAGCTATCAGTTTTCTCCCACTGCAGAAATTACAGGCCACATCTTCAGGTCCAGCCTCAGAGGAACCATCAGGAGCAGCTTGGAGTCCGCTCTTCTTCAGTTCCTCCACTAAACCTGCTAACATGGTGTTTTTCTTCAGGACAGGCCTCGGTGTGAAGGTCTCTCTGCACTGAGGACAGCTGTAGATCTTCTTCTCAACCTCAGTATCCCAGTAGGATTGAATACAGCTCATGCAGAAGCTGTGTCCACAGGTGAGAGTCACCGGATCCTTCAGAAGATCCAAACAGATGGAACAAGAGAAAGACTCACGGTCCAGATGAACTCCTTTCTGCGCCATTTCAACACTCGCTGTCGACGACGACTGACTGAGTTTAATTTCCTGAGAAGTGAAACTAGTCTGAGCTCTGACCTCACAACAACATGTGTGAGTCAGCAGGATCAAGTCAGCACACGGAGGTTACACCCAACCTTTAGACTGTAGATCTGAAGGGGAGGGAACAAGGAAGTGAGGAAACAAGGAAGTGAGTGTGCAGAGTGGGGGGGGGGGGGGATCCAGTTTTTCTACAATCCAGGAAGAGGAGTGTCTCTGTGAACTTTAGACTCTCAAACTAAAACAAGCAGAAGTTCTTAAAGCTGCAGCCGTCCTGAAGATCAACTGAACCAACATTTATTCACCTCATAGAAACCTCATCGAGCAGAAACACACTTCAACTGTTTTAGAGCCACAGAGTTAAAGAGACAACACAGAGAAACACTCTCTCTCTCTCTCTCTCTCTCTCTCTCCCCTCCCTCTCTGCTCCAGCAAGCCCCGCCCACAAACAGACGCTCCTGCTCGCTCGTATCGTTCCAATTAAATTCAGATATAATGCAGATAAATACTTCAGATCATTACAAATGGGGCCCAGTCAAGGTGAAAGTCAAAAGCATTGGTGCTACTGTAGATGCCAACAGACTACCAGCAAACACAATGTTTGCAGGACTTCTACAACGAGGATAAAGTGACATAGTCCAGACAATTTTCCGAACTTTCTGGTTGGTTTCTACTGTCCGATATTGTAGCACGCTAACTTTGTTTGGGCTCCTGAACGACACGGGGGAGCAGCGTCTGCCTCACAACCAATCAGGTTAGAGGAGGCGGAGAACGGCTTTGTTTACAGTCAGAAAGAGCGGAGCACTCTGAAATTTTAAAATGTTGACGACACAGACATAAGAGAACACAGAGATATCGATATATTACCAAATGTCATCAATAACTAATAACTATTGATTGATGATTGACAAAAAAAGATGCTTCTTTAACAGAATCCTGCCTACCCCACCTTTAAATCACCTGCTTTACTAAATTAATCTGGTAGATTTTCAAGTCTTTCTTTTCGTTGGGCTTGAGTTCGTTACTGTTGAGGTTTGTGGGGGATATTTCTACTGGAATAAATTAATCTGAATCAAATTATATGTCCAGTGTCCATCCCACAGGGGAAAGAAAAAAAATTAAACTACAACATAAAAGACGTTAATTTCCTTCGTACATTACGTTGAACAGAACATGGTGTCGCTGAAACGTGTAACGCTCACATCGGCTTTATTGTACGCTCTGAAATGTTCAGTGTCCGTCTATTTCAGTCCTTTCGGTGGAGAATTAAAAAGTGTCTCAGGTCACATGGGTCCTTTCCTTCCCGACGTGTCTGGAGGGAAGTTTTTAATAACCTTCCTTTCAAATGAGTCATTTGTGAGTCAGATTCCTCATTTGAAGCCCTTATTTTACCTTACTTCCATATATTGTGCCATTGAATTACCTCATTCATTCCCCTCGCATTAATAATTCAATAATTCAGTTCAATAATTAATATTGTTATCAGCTTCTTTCCATTTGTCCCTGCCCCCCTGACACCTCAACTTTGGACCACTTGGATGATTAATACAGTTTAACTCTGTTCAAACTCTGATTGAATGTTTTTTTTAAGTGAAATGCTCTCTGGGACTTGCAGTCAACTTCTCTCTTGTACAGTCTTTTCTTTTCTTTTTTCTCTCTCAATCACCGGAGCAGAACCAATTTTAACCGTTTCCTTTTGTTTGATGATTATCTGAGGAGGATTAAAATGATTCCTGTAGTTTTTGTCACGATAATTAGCTCCATTCGTAAACAGCCTGGCTGTGTGAGTGTGTGAGTGAGTGAGAGAGTTTCCTGTTCGTATTTTGCTTTCAGTCCAGCTGTCAGCAGGTATGGCAGCTTTTCTTTGCTGAAAATTACAAATGACAGCAAACAAAAAAGGGACGATTAAAATAATAGGAAAGGTTTGATTTTTCTTTTTAATTGCCTTAAAAATGTGCAAAAGTAAAGAGGAGGACTGACAAACTCCACTCTGTTTTCCACGATTCCTGTTTGGCAAAACTGTCGCTCTTTTATTTTATCAGAAGTTAAATTACCTCTCTCTTTAGTGAGATCGAATGAGTGCAAAAGTTCGGCATTTAAAGTTAAGGAGGCGCTTTTACAGCTAGTCTATGTGAGGTTATAGGAGGCTAAATCTGCTGTACTACAGATCTTAAAAGATTAAAATTTTTATGTGCATATTTGAAAAAAATAACCTTTTACAAAACACAATATGCAGTCACACTGAAGTTTGGTTCCTGTTCCTCATCACGCCTAAAAACACACAGTGGGTGTGCTACATACACACACACTTAGACATGCAAACACACACACAGTGCTGTTCCGCCCTGCCAGCTCCAATAACCACATAATGTCCCTGAATACCGAATCTATCACCACGTCAAAAGGAGGACAAGAGACGACTTTTATGGGTAATTTTCTAATGTAGGTTTATTTCTTCACACTGAGCGTTTTTTGGTCTAAAAGAGGTCGAATAGACGTCTAAATGTAGCCTAGATCAGTGGTTCTCAAGTGGGGGGTCCTGACCCAGAAGTGGGTCGCGCACTCGTTCTGGATGGGTCACGAACAGCTGGTAAAAAAAGTAAATATTTAATGCGATGTTTATTAGATATTTGATAATCCCTGAAACCACAAATTATGGCCAGAAAATTCACTTTTTTTTTTTAGCTGAAATGTTTATTATTTCACTTATGACTGAAAACCAAAAAAATCAATGTCCTTAAGATTTAACAAATATAATTATTTATCTTGTTTGATACATTTAATGTTTTTGGAAACTGATAAACCACAAGAGGACATTTTTATCATTTATCGGACTGTTTTAGGGTGTTTTTTAGTAATTAGTTGATCATATTAATTTGATAGAAGAATTATAAAAGTATATATCAAATATGATACAAAAGGCAATAAAGGGATACAGCCACATCACAGAAAATCAAATATTGAGTGTTTTTCTTTTTTCATTCTCTGATTTTTATGATCAAAACGAAAAATGGAAAATAGTTTGTGAAAACGAAAATCCTTTGGCTGCTAAGTACACAGACCCTCATTCTAGTACGTTCTGTTTCAGCCACTTTAGGCGTTTAAGTACTGATGTCTGTATGTCTATAACAGAAACTTAGAGAGATTAAAGCTTTATATTCTGGATACAAATACTCTAAAATGATGGAAATCTTCTTTCTGCTTTTGTTAAACTATTACACCGCTGAATAGGACACTGCATCTTAAACACCAAATTTCAAAGCAATACAAAAAGCACTAACAAGGTTAATGTGAAGACGCAGAAAGACGAACATTTGAGTCCAAACGTCTAAATCTGGATTTAAAACCAACCTCCTAATTTCCAGAGTAACCTCTGCAGTCACTTTGTAACTCAGACCAAAGGGAACTTTTAACTCTGTGATCCAACTTCACAAACACGATTATGAATGTGAGTGCAGCAGAGCCGAGCCGCAGAGGACAGCCCGGGAATATTGATAAGGATATTACAGCTGATCAGTCAGGGTCCACACAGTCCACAGGGTTAATTACTCAGAGAGATGCTGGGAAACAAAGTCGACCGCAGAGGTTTAAACTCCTCTGGAGATGAACCTGCCGCGGCATGTCTTCAGGAAGACGTGAGGAAAAACAAATGGAGAAAACAGACAGAGACTAAACGGTATCGACAACACTGTTGGCTGCTTTATCTGAACTCTTGTCGGAGCCAAAGGGGCGAGGTTTTTTATTACACAACAACACTGCTAACAAGAATGCTGGGTAATTTATTCAAAATATAATCTAATTGTAGTTTTTAGTGTTTTGTCAATAGCACAGATAGTGTCCATTTAATGTGATATTTATATTCATGTGGGAACAGCCTGTTCATTTACTCTCGTCTGTCATTTGCTCATTGATTCTGCAGAAACTGCAGCGGGTCTGAACAATTTAAGCTCAGAATAAAGAAAGTTGTTTTATGTTAAGGACAGCTAAATGAATACGGCCCTATACATCCAGATACCGGTAAATAAACATGTATAATAGTTTTCTTAATAGTGGCATGTTCAACATACTTGTGACTTTCAAAGGCCTTTTACTGAATGCATGAAGCACCGACGCCACTCTCAAGGGGGACACTAGAGCGGGAATAAAACCACCTTTGTCCGTCATCGTATTTCAATCTATTTTATTTATTTCTATCCAAAGCAGCCGAGCGCGCCGCCGCTCCATCTGCTGCAGTGTGACATATTTTTATCAGGAATGTGGCGGCGGCGGTGGTGGTGGATAAAAGGGTGTGTGAATCCAGACACATGTGCCACAGCTTTGCTCATCATCCCTCCCATCCCTGTGATCTTGATGTCTCTGTAATTAGCAAGAAGTACAAACTGCTATTTGCAGAGACCTTGATTAGCATGGCAGTAAGAAAGCTACGGTAAATATTGCAGAGAAATGTCTGGTGAAAATTAGAATTAATCCTCCGCCCAGAAACGGCCAACGTTTCTTTCCTCGCGGATAAATTACTAAGAAAACAGCAAAGTTGGACGCCAATGAGAAAAGGTTTAATTTTTTTATTTACTATATTTATGTTTTATGATTGACCAAAATTCGTTTTAATGCCTTTTTATGACAACAAAACCAACAGTGACCATTTTTACTACTGTGCTTCTTTAGACCTGGAGTCAACCCAGCTGAATAAACAACCAGTTTTTTGACCATTTCTGCATAAAATACTTATGATTTATGAAACGTTTGCCAGGGAAAAAATCACCAGGATGAGATTCTTCTTGAAGATTAAACTTAAACACGCAGAACACAAGATAAGCAGATACCGCTTTGGCCACAAGGGGGTGCCAAAGTTGACAAAAATGTAAAATTCCTCACAGGAGCTTTAAGTGACAGTTGTTGTAAACTCTGGGGAACATTTTTTACCCAACATGGACCAACAGATGAGTAGAAAGTTTTGCCATCAGTGTTTCAAGTGTAACAGAAAAATTTAAGCATCTAATCAAAAGGTATTTTATCCTCCCTCAGGAAAACGTCTTCCACCGAGGAAGTAAGGAGAAAGAAAGACATGCTGACCCTCCTGATGGAAGAAGAAAGACCGCTGGAAATCCCAGTAAGTGTTTTATATTTGTGCAAGAAAAATTGACAAAACCACCATTAGGTTTGGAGGTAACTGACTCAGAGAGAACTTGTTATTGGGGCGGTTTCTGAGGAAAAGGAGAGTCACTATAAATATGTTCAAAAACCAATTAAAACAAAATTATCCAATGTAAACAGTGTTTCTGTGTTTCTGCTTTACATGAACCTGTAGTCCATGAAAAGCAGAAACAATCCAACTCTTTTGTGCGTATCAGGCTGCTGTTCTGGTTCCTGAAAAAGTCACCCTGCTGTGTTTTAACAGTGATATTTCAGATATGTGAAAACAGTCGACAAAGACGGTTTTGTTGGCATCTATCTTATGTTCTTCACAACTTCAAGAACAGTCAAAAGAGCCTCGTCTGGGGAAAAATTGCCGAAGACTGATGACAGCTTGTTTTTTTAAGAAGCACATTCAGTTTGATGCTGAAGAGCTGAAGGTTTTATTCTGGTTTAACAATAGAAACAAACCCTGATTTACCTTTTGTGTATAGAACAGAGTTTACCTTGTAAATCTCTCATCGATGATGGTGCGTTTGAACGCCTCTCTAACACTTTAGAAATTCGCAGCGGTGCTGAAATAGATCTGCACCATTATTACACCTTTGTAGTCACACACCGCACTCCGAATTGGCGTAATGTAATGTCGCAGCGTGTCATCACACATAGCATTAAGTCCTCGCAGGAGCGCGAGAGGCATGGCTTGACAACACACAGTAGGAGCTCTAAATATACACACACTCTGACATGAACGTGCAAACAACGCCATTTCACGTTGTTTGCTTTGATGAAACACATCGCCACCTTCTCCCATTAATTCCACCTTTTGTTATCACCTGTAAGGAAGGATCAGAGGTGGACAGTTTCACCCCATTATTACGATTACGACTCTGTCCTACAAATTAAAGAGGAGGCGGAAATGGTTTTATGTACACATGTAACCTCTTCAGTGTTTCATAGTGCACTGGGAGATGTACCTTGAAACTTCTGAACTACCTTTTTATCTGGAAACATGAAATTTACAACTTATGTGTCTGAAATTGAGCCATTTGTTGTCCCTAAAGTCTCAACTGTTTTGGGGAAGAAAACTTTTATTATCTGCACCTTGAATCCAGGTTGTATGGGAATGTTTCAATTGATTTTAAGATCAGAAGTTTCTTTAACAAACAATTAAAGGTGTATTTGTTTAGATACGGAGTACCATGAATGAAACTGAGTTCAGCTCTTCTCTCTAAAGGATTACGTTTTCTTGTTATCCCTAAAATAAGTTCTGATTTTCTTTTATGTCTTTTCACTTTCTTCATTGTATTTATATATTAGCTTATTTCTCAACAAACAAGAGAGAATAAGAGCGTCTGTATGAGTGAAGTGTAGAATGAGTGTTATATGTAAGTGTGATGTCTATAAGTATGTGTCTAAGTTCAAAAAGAAAATGGAAGAAAAGATAAGGACCCCAGGAAGTTACTGCAAATTTTGTTGTTGCTAATAGTGGATCCAAAACAAAACAAAACATCTATTTCTGATATGAGCTTGATGCGACTCACCACATAAAACACTATAGAAGAAGACAAAGCGCATGCGTATTGGATATCTTCTTGAGCGAACAGTGATTTGAGATAGATTTACTATGAAGTGGCAAATTTTAAAACGAGAAATTAGCATGATAAATATCTATTTGGGCACCAGCTCTAATGACTACAGTGAGGTTTCTTTGTCCACATGCGTCTAAAGTTTCTAGCACACCAGCTATCTTGATTGTTTTGTACAAGAGTATTAACATTTCTCAATAATTTCCTTTTTGTGGTCCGTGCTACAGTGACAAAAGCACTGTTTTGAAAAATATCCAACTTGAAATTTCAGTTTTTAACTCTATTTTGAAACTTCTTGTTGTTGCCATACTTTGCTAAACAGATCTGAATTCAATGGGAAGCTAACTTGGTAACATTAAGATTAATAAAATAAATAACAACAGTGACATTAAAACATTTAAATAATAGCTATCTGTTGTGATTCATGGTCTCCTTTGATGTCGTAGCCCAACCTTCACCTTTCCTCTCACAGTTTGAGACCTATTTTGGTTTCAATTTATTAAATTATCAAAATTAAGTTCACTCGTCCACAAAGGAAATGTAGTTTTACAGCAGGACAGGGCTTGACAGTGCAACCGTTTCACTCGCATTCGCTACTAAAAATAGATGTGTGTGAATTGTAAAATGTATTTAGGGTCACATGTACCCATAAAACAAAATCAGCCAAGGAAACAAATGTTTATTCATGTAAATACAGCGGTGAAGTTAGTTTTAGGTTGGATATTCGATGGACATTCACTGCAGATCTACTGGTGTCTCTCCATAAGCAGGAAGCAAGATTCTTTTTTGTAGGATGGTAGGGGAAGGTCCCGCCTTCTTCGCCTCTGATTGGCTAGAAAAGCTGGTAACGTTATCACACGCTCAAGCCGAGTGCGGGCTGTCAGCTCGAGAAAAAAAAAATTACAGATCATTATCGCAATTCTGAATCTCCTAACCCTAACCCTGACCAGACAGACGATGACGTTTCACAGCCGTAAGGAATAACCAATCAGAGCCCAGCACTTCTAGCCAATCAAAGGCGAAGGAGGGAGGGACCTTCCCCTACCATCCCAGGAAAAAAAAACTGGAATAACAACAGCAGTGCGGTTAAATCCACTCTGCATCCTCGTTGTTAACGTCAGGTGTTGAATAAGGGACCGTCAATAAATTACTGGTTGATGTTCTCAGAAAAGGCTGTTTTCCTTCAACAGCTTCCATGTCATGTGACCAATTGACCTAAAATTGATTTCTAATAAAAGTACTTATGTCGGCTGATTTGATCAATTTTCATTGTGCCCCTAAAGTTCTTTGTGTTTCTCAATTGAAACAAGTTAGTTTTAAGCCCTGCAGGGATTTCTGAAAAAGCAAATGGATAAATTAACTTCTTTTAAAATATTCCTTATGATTGATCCATTAGGATTTTCACTAAGCTGCTGCGCTGAAATTTAGGCAGCCATATGCAAAAACATAATCCATATGTGTTGTGTGTAATATCCGAGTCGATTAAGCTGCTTTGGATAACAGCCTCCCTCTGCCACATGCTGCCTTGTGCTCATATAGGAACTGTTGAATTAACAGCCATTATGTCGAGTAAATATCCGTCTGTTTTACACAACAGACTCCATTTTGGAGAAGACCAAATGAGACGAAATGCTTCCACCTCTGATTGGTTGTAAAACCCGTCAATCTCAGATCAACGATCGCCTTTTGAACCCAACAATTTCAGCGAGTCAGTTTGTATCTGTAGGAAGACCAATCTGTGACTCATGGGGAAGATTCCGGCGGTTGTAATTATCGATTTGTATTTGTGTTTTAAAGCAACACAAGCTTATTGTACACAGAGAGTAAAAAAACCCAAAGTAAAAAAATTTAACTTGATATATTTTAAGATAAACTTCTTCCAGATGAAAATCCTCGCAGTGAAACGTGGACTTGTTACAGGAGAGATCAAGTCATCCTGTTGTACCTCAGTCATTGTTCTGTTTTAAGATAACTTTAAACTAGAGCTACAATTAGCAGACACGGTAGTTTGGGGCAACATGTTATACAGAGGCATAAGTGAACTAAGCGCCTGCTCAGGGCCCCACGGCCAATAGGGGGCCCCCAGGAGCATAAAAAAAAAAATCAATTTTTTAAAATTTTTTCACATATGAGTGATGCATCTATATGATCAAATATATATTATTGTAAAAATAAAATAAAGTATAAGCATTTTAGTGCTGCTGCTGATGTAGGCCTGTGATTCTTTTACAGTAAACCCAACATTTTATCACTTGGAATATTGTGAAAATCAACCCCAGGCCGCTCTTGGAGCTGAATGTGTTAAATTTCAAGATTAAAATCCATATGTGGCACCCTAAACATCATTCATCAGTCATTCATTGGTATTATCTGTATCATTGCATGGTGTTATTTATGTTATTACCTAGGCCACCCCCTTAAATGTGGAAAGACATGTCAGACGTATTAAATTTATTCTGTAGTAGGTGTGTGAATGATCAACAATCAATATTATTGGCAGAAATAGAGGACCCCAAAATCAAATTCTCCTTAGGGCCCCATTGAGGCTTGGACTGGCTCTGATGTTGTATAATATTTTACGTTAACCTTTGTTTAATGACTTTTTCTTTAACTCAATGATAAACATTTTCTGTGCCTGACTTTAATGTTCAACAACAATAATTTTGTCTTTATTTTATTCGCTGTAAAATCCACCCTAACATCTTACCCCATGTAGTGACACAACTTACCTGATGGTGGGACAACATGTCACATGATCACGCTCTCTAGTTGATTGGTTAAAACTGCACTGACACAAGATATGATAATGACATGAATATGAAATATAAACCTGAGACTTTGGTCTTTAATCTGGTTCACATTTTGTTTATATACTATGGGTTGATTTAAAGAAATATAGAAGAGTGTAAAAAGTGTAACAACAAGCCCCAGTCTCCCCTACACAACTAATACTAATAAACATACACAATCACTGTACACAACAACTACACATTCCATGTTACAGATGCACAAACCTGTTCTTGTTTCGCCTGCTCTCTCTCTCTCTCTCTCTCTCTCTCTCTCTCTCTCTCTCTCTCTCTCTCTCTCTCTCTCTCTCTCTCTGTGGCTCTCTCTCTCTCTCTGTGGCTGAGCTATCGAGCGCTCTGCCTCACTCAGCCTCGCTCGTCACGTGCCGCTTCTCGCCTGTAGGTGGCGCTCAGAGCGCGAGAGAGGGCCGCTCTCCGCCTCTCTGTGGCAGGACGGAGCTGGGAGAGAGAGAGGGGGGAGGTAGAGAGAGGTAGACACGGCATTACAGCAAGAAGAGAGCGAGAGAGAGAATAAAAAGAGGTAGGAGCATCGAAACATCAATTTGCTGCATATGTGTAAAAAAAACGACAATTTTGACCGTTTAAAACAAAAAAACAGTAAATTTATTTCCCACCCAAGACTGAGTTTATATTGAATTTACTTGAATGTCTCACAGTCTCAGTTTTCACGGTTAAAAAGGAGAAAAGCTACAGCTGTGGTGGTTAAAACGACACTTATGAGAAGTTGCTCTAAGGGGGGAGAAAAGATGGGGAACCCACGAAGAGTTGGAGTTGTCGGGGTGGATGGTCGCTCCGCCTCCCTCCACTCCCGGTGTAGTGTATAGAGGAGGGGAGGGAGGGGGGAGACAGCTTGGTAGAGACCGAGAGAGAGAGAGAGAGAGAGAGAGAGAGAGAGAGAGAGAGAGGGGAGCGCGAGCGCAGCCGTTTGGATTCACTCCACTTTCTCATCACACACAGTGCAGCCGCGCCGCGCGACCTGCTCCGTGCGAGACCGGGAGGCGGACACAGTTTGAGGCGGCAGAGCGGTGACTGCGCGTCGGGGTGGAAACTAACCAGGACGGCCGCTGTTGGCAACTCCCGGACCTACCGGACCTTTTGGTGATTTTTCTTTCCTTTTTTTTTTTGGGTCCTTCATCATCATCACCATCACCTACTCCTCCACCCCCCCCAAAAAAAACCCTCACCAAACGTGCCATCAGTCAGCGGAGGATGCTCCTGCTCCCGGTGGTTGTCCCCTTCACGGAGTAGCAGCGAGTGAGTGACCCTCTCCCAGCCCGGACGGGTCTTTCCCCCCCGGCTGGGCTCCATCAGCAGTTCCCCCGGAGAGAGGAAGGACCTCCGGGTTGACGCGCAGCGCTGGTCACGACAGTAAAACTGGACAGACAGTGACAGAGGAATTGGAGGAATAATTAACCCTGCCTGTCCTGCTGGATTGTTTGCTTTCTTTTTGGGGGTCTTTTTTTCCCTGCGTGGATTGTTAATTTTCGTGTTTTTTCCCGGAGGTTTGGTGCGGCTCCGCCTGGGTATCGAGGAGGAGCGTAGCCTGTAGCCGGGCTGGAGCGCTCTGAGCTGGGGAACCGCGCAGCTCACAGCCGGTCCAGGTAGGAAGTTGTCTCCACAGAGCAGAAATTCACTCCTAGATCTTTACATCAGAGCATCCCCGTGACACATTTTCATTCATATCCTCCTGTCAGTGTGCAGCTTAGGGAGGTGGGGGCACTTTTTACGCACGGTGATAGGAAGAGTGTTATCACTTAATTCTCATTTTCGCCTCGCTGAGCACTTGCGCCGAAATAATTCTCGATGTAGGATCAATCTAAGACGGAGCAGCTGTCTGAAAAACACTTGTTGGCGAAAAAAAACCCATCTGCAGGAATTGGATGCTCATATTCAGAGCCTGATCTCCTCTGACGGGTATTTTACCTGTATTACACTACAGTGGTATTGATCCATATCGACCCCCTCCGTCCTCAACATTACCTCCATGTCTGTCAGTAATAAAACGCAGCTTCCTGTGGGTCACTCCGGCTTCCTTAACCTCTTGGAAACCCCCAAAATCAGGACAGTTTAACGCATTTCAGGAAGAAAGTACAGTATAGAGAGAGAGTGTGTGTGTTCCCTACAGTGCACCATCACAGCAGGGTTTCATTATTCCTCCATCAGAGTTCTGCAGGGACTCACGCTCTATAGAGAAGAGTATAAAATGGCAGTAAAGAAAAAACAAAACTCGTCTTTACAATCAGAGGTTTGTCTTCCTGCTGTAATATTAGAGCTAATCTGCCTTCAGGGACTCCTAAGGCTGCTTAAAGCAACAATACAAGAGTCCATTCATCCTCGGCTGCTCATAAACCAGTCACACAGGCGAGAGAGAGGGAGAGGGAGAGCATACATATCTCTCCATATCTGTTAAACCCTTACGCTGCACCTGAGGCCTCACAGGCACCTGTAGCACCGAATTAGACCCCCTTTCTCACCCCCGCCCTGCAGGGAGCATTAGCTGACTGTTTTTTTTTTTTCTGTTAACAAGAATCCAAATAAAGGCGGCCGAGTTTCAGTGTCAACCGTAAATGTGGACCTGAGAGGCAGGTGTTGATGAGTATCTGCCACCAGTGTCACCGCAGGGGAATCCAGTCTATCCTGTCCCTCCAGTCTCCAGTCCTTCTGTGGTGGGGCGAGAGAGGATGGGCGTTCAAGCTGCGCCACATGCAAGAGAGAGAGAGAGAGAAGGAGAGAGAGGGAGGGAGGGGTAGGGGGAGTTGGGTATTTACATGCAAACTGCATCTGCTGTTCCCTGACAGAGAGTGAGCTGGAGTAGTAAACGCCACCGCTGCCACGGCCGCAGCTTAGGTCTCAGCTATCCCGCAAGGAATCGCAAAGCCATGTTCCCCGAGTTCCCATGGGCAACAGGCATGTCTCTGCTACCTTTCCTTGACCTTTGACCTCGTTACCCAATTCCACCTGTCACCTCACCCTTGTGAAAAAAAAAAAACCCCGGGTGACACAGAGACACCGGAACGCCACAGCCTGAGCGGAGACGCTGCGCAGAACAGCTGAAGTGGAGTAGCAGGATCACCGTGCACCTTCTGTGTTGGTGGTAAAAAATGCGAATGGTTGTTTTACGGAGGCGGCGTTGGTTTCTTTACCTCCAAAACGAGTTCACAGAAGATGTAGGCTTCTTGTTTGTCGCTTTAGATTGTGGTTTCGACTTCATATTGTTGTTCTACCAGCAGAGAAGCGCCTCATTAGAGCCTCTGTGGTTTTTGGCTTTCACCTTTGCGCTGTATCTAATGTCGAGCGCTCTAAACATTTATTTGAGGGTTATTTTGCACATGAAACAAGATGGGAGATACTCTCTCTGAGGTTTGCGGCTAATTTGAACGGCGAGCCCTGGTGTCACCCGAGCCCTCGCTGTCGTCGGTGGAAGGGCGAGGTTTGAGGTTTGATACCAAAGCTTTGGGAAAAGCTCTGTCTCCTGTAATTTGGGATTCGCATCTGTCTAGTTTTACTCAGATTAAAACGACAACAACCCGGTCATCCACAGCTCTCCAGGAGGGTGAGGGGTGGGCGGGAGGTGGGGGATTAGTCAGCGGATGAAGTCAAAAAAAAGGGGGCACATGGAGAAAGGAGGTCTAGTGGGGTCCGTTCTGCACATTCCTGCGTGAAAATCGGAGATCTGAGCGAGCCGTGTCATCCATGCCTGTCATTAAAATGGGGAGCTGGGAGAGTGGAAATGGGTTTGGTGTGTGAAATGGAAACCTCACACACACATTCACACCCCCGTGCTGCAGAAAAAGAGCCGTCCACGCTTCAGATTAAAGAGTTTTCATGGCAGGTTTTTAGTTCAGGTGTGACAACAAGCGAGGAACCGAACCTCGCATGAATACATAATCGGGAACTGTAATTTCATTCAGTGAAAGGCCGGTTAGTCGGCTTTGGTTGTGATTTAAAAGATTTTAAAGGCTTTGTTCCTTCTTTTGTGGCGTGTGAGTGAGTGGTTAGTCACATTACCTTTAGCATCAAAAGCTCATGGCCTCTATTGTACATTTACCACATCACACAGGTGAACGAAACACCTGATTAAACAGCTTTCTGTTCGTCGAAACCACATAAAGGTGTTCCTGTACATTGGCTTCAATGGAAGTGTATTGAATAACCAAACAGTGATGCTACACATATAATATTCATGATTGAACGCTGCAGCCCCTCTGTGCTGTGATTTCTTTCATCCTTAATGCAAAGTAAAGCTCCAAACTCACCGTAAATGACACTTGAGAGCTTGTATCTACACCATCCGATCAACAGAAGCTGCAGTGACAGCAATTATCTGAAATCATTACCTCAGGCGTCTGTCGTGTTTTGCTATTTTTGATTAAAAACAAAAAGAAAGGGGTCACCGAGGTCGCTAAAACCATTAGAACCCATCCTGAGGGGATCACTAACGCCCACATCGTCATGTAAATCTGTCGCCGGTGGAGGTAGAGACACTCCTCAGTCGGACAGATGACAGACGCAGGTTTCCTGCCATAAAAGCGTCTAAAAGCACTTTTATTGAGCCGACATTATATTGCTGTATTGATCCTCTTGGTTCCAGTCGATTAAAACGAGGCTCGCGGGCTGTTAGACGGTTTGAATCTCGCCGCCTGCTCGCACTCTGAGCACCAGGTGTCATTTCACACCGTCCTGCGTATTTACAGTACATCATGTACAAGCAGCTGTGACATTTATAAATGATCAAAACTGAAGCTGTTCTTCTCTTTTCTAATCTACAGAAACAGAAATCTCATTTTTGAACAGTTTTACTCTTTAGAAACACGCTCCTCACTTTGTTACCCTCGATACTCTCCAGGTATCTCTGCAGCATCAGCCTCATGACCGTGTGATACCAAAATGCAAAATATCTGCCAGCTGACTTCAGCCTATCACAGACATGTATTGATATCAGTGTCTGTGTGGCGTCGCAGAAATGCCAACTGTGTTTTAAGACGGGGTTTGTTCTTATTACAGTTCAGTCTGTTCAGATAAAGAACAGTTGGCGTAAGATTTCCTCCAGCTCACATCACAGTCGAAGTCAAGATTAATACATAAGAACACACTTGATTTCCACTTCTACCCCACGTTGTTGTCATTTTTCTGTTTCATACATTCAAGCAGAGGTTCTTATTAGTCGACAGGCAGCGATGAGCGTCTTTTTTAGAAGAAAGTAAATCGTTGAAAAATGCGACACTGGGCTCTTTTGTTCCCCTGAGTCATCGTAGTAGTGCGGATATGGCTCAGATCTGTTGAATATCTCAGTTTTGAGGTGTCATTTCGACCAGCTGACGCTCCGTCACTGACTTGTGAAAACGTGTCTTCTTTATTCCACTTGTAATACAGGGAGAATTAGGTCATGCAAAACCATGAGCACCTCAGTTCAAGAGTTTACCACAATACAGCTATTCTCTGCACATTATTTTTGACACTTGGGTTTGAACTGGAGCTGAAGGGTTTCCAAACTTTTAGCACTAATGGACCATCAGAATATCATACAGAACATCAGGAATAAAGGCTTTAAGCAGAAAACAAGTTTATCAATCATGTTGGAATGATGAGTCTTGAGATTTTAAATGCAGGCCAGTTTCTGACTTTTTGCGCTTCATGCTGAAATATCCGATAGAGCAGATCTGCAGAAGATTAGCCGACATACCTGCAGGAGAGGGTCAAGGCCTGGAGTCGTACAAGCAACCTCTGCTACAGAGACTAGACCTTTGTATGATCATCAACTCCACAAACATATCTGAAAATAAGGGAATAAGAAGATTTCTAGTGGAAAAGGTGGATCTCAGTACAGTCAGGATTAGATGCAGAACTGTTTGTTTTATTTCCTAGAGCGATGAACTCGGGCTGTTGATGTTCGAGTAACTGCTGCGATCTTTGTTTAGTCGGTGTATAAACTTGATATCACAATAAGATGGTGAACAACACAGTGCTCATAAAGTATAACACATTTGTGATGTTAGCTTTGTTTGTGCATGTCTCTGTCTGTAACCTGACACCAGGCTGGATCCTGCTGAGGCCCAAAACTCAGTAGATTAATCCACATGTCAAGAATCGGTGATATTTAATCGTGGAATAATATCTTGGGTATTTGTAGTTTCTGTAGTTTATTCTGCAAACACGAAAAGTCACTTTTTGTTGCATTGACTTAGACAGTATATGTGATGGAAATGAATGCTCCAGTTTTAGCCTAACCAGTGGACAAACATGAACTATTTAATTATTTAAACATGCATTTTATAGATTACTTGTGTTTATCCTGCAGCTTCATGATTTCAGCAGGGTTGGGGTGTTGAAACAGATTTGTTTCAGGCGTGGTTTGCACATCAGAAAATGAGAGAGAGCGT